TTTTTTTTTTTTTTGGTTTTATCCATATGATCGGATTTTTTTGACTTTGCTTTTTTTGCTTTCCTTCATAGGCTCGGGTTTGCTTTAATTCGCTTTTCTTTTTAGTGCTCTGTTGTTTCTTTTCATACATCGAACTCTTGACTTTTATCTTCAGTCCAGCCCCAAATTCTGCCTGCAAAGCAACATCTGAACTGCTCTCCATCCCCACTGTGTGAGCACTCTGAAAGCAAGCAGTATTTTGACTCTTTCTACCCGAGGTGTCCATGGCAAAAACCAGCTGCACACGTTTTTTCCCCTCCACCCATCACCCCTCCCTTCCCCCTTCGCCCTCTAAATGTACGTGACCTTGCTGAACTATAAAAGATTCCAGCCTCCCTCTCCTGCTTCGAACGAAATCCGCAACACTCCCCCACTTTTACCTACCACATTCGAACTCCTGCCACTCACTATGGGGTAGCTACATCTGCTATCATCAAAAAAAAATTTTTTTTCGCAATTCGTGCATGACGCCGTCTGAACGGAGTTTTGGTAATTTTCGCAAAATTTACGTTTAGCGGAAGGGCCGCAAGAGGAAACTGTTTTGTCCGAGAGCCGTTGATGAAGATGAACTAGTGTTTTGCATCTTTTGCTTGGGGTTATTATATTCGATAGCAATGTCATTTCAGAATTAGACTTGCTCTTGTTTGTTCCACTTTAAAAACATGTTCGATCTGCTGTTGCTCTGTCCATGAGACTAACCCGGTTACACGAATTGTGCTCTGTCACGCTTATTGTTTGAAAAACGATGAGCTTCCTTAGGCTTAATCGAACAGCTTTTTCTACTTTCTACGTTACTACAGGTATCTAGTAATTCCCAGTCTAGCTGTTCTTCTTCTACACTGTCCGTTAATTTTTGCAGCGATGTAAAGCTTGTCTGCCCAGAAAAGTGAAATATTTGTCGGTTATGAAATGATTTTTTGCCTTGGACCGACTTCTTGAATGAATTGTGCCCGGTTAAGTTTTGGATCGTTGCTTCCATAGTATTCTCTGCTAGCATCGGAATCTTTTATGCTTTTCGTCTGATAAAATTACTTTGATTGTGTAAATTTAACTCCTAGTCAGTGTTTGTCTTTTATTATTTGGACACATTAATTTTTACGGTGACATTCTCTTGTAAACTTTGTTTATGAATAATGCAGATATTCGTCCGGTTTTTTCGTGTCTAACTTATCCAGTGTTACTCGATTTGCCACTCTCTGATCTCATGTATTTCATGTAGCGTTGCGTATGTAGTGTCTAATGATGGTTCCTATCAAATGCCTTAGTCTTGTGATAAGTTCATTGTTTTTAGCATTTAATTTTTTTTTTTTGTATTTTTTTTTGTAAAAGTCACGTGACAGGCCGGTATTCGCGCACATGCCTACTGCTCTCAACCGATTTCGGATCCCATCTAACCGTCGTTCGGACACTTTTTTCACGGTAATTTTACCTGACAGCTGTCGGCGGTGTTGCAGATTATTGCCTCAAACAGTTGTTGCACTGGGACTTTTTTAACTTCCTTTTGTCTTATTTTTGCGTCCGATTTGCTTTGACATATTTTTGTTGCAGTCAAAGTGATATTTAGGATTTGCGGCTAAAAGTGGGTGGCGTGCGCACTGCATTAGCGATGTCATTGCACTCACTGAACAGTTTTTTTTCAGCTTTAAAGCAGCTGTCTTCTGTGTTACATTAAGCGCATCTTACGCTCTTCCTACTTAGTTATGTGTTAGTTTAGCTTCATTGTTACCCCTAGAAGTCCACATTCAGTTGTCAGTATTTTTTAGCGAGCTGCTGCAATTTTCTGTGACTGTACGGGTTGCTATATTTAGTCATAAGAAGGACAGGTTTTCGAACGTTTTTATGCCCACGTCGTTTTTGGTGCCATATGCT